CAAAGACTGGCTGAACTCTCACTCAGCATGCGTCTTTACACCTTCCACTATTTCACGTTACAGCGATAGCAACAGACCCATTCCCCTTCCCCTTCCCCCTCTCTGACCCCTTAATATAACTAGACTAAAATGATACCCCTAGATCTCTGAACACCTTCCCCTTTCTTAATGTTGGTTGGATGCCTAAACTTTTATCACTCTACCCTCCCTTATATTATTGTAATGACCTGATAATGAATGATAAAAAAACGTGTCTTTGTAAAACTCGACTTCTTAAAGGATTTTCGCATTACATTTATTTATATAAGCAGCCTTTATGTAAAGCTGTATAAATAATTCCACAGGGTTGGAGTTCAACAAAGGACATAGATATATCTTGTCGCTGTATTAGGTTGCTGATAATCTTTGAAGAAAAGCAAATAATTTGAAGCGGAACAAAATATGGAGACTGAGAGATAGCGCACAAACCAACCAGGAGAGTTGTTCCACTATGCACAGTCAAACCGTGTCCTACCGGTGCGCGTAAATATGTCGCCTGGACGAAAACACTCTAGATAGAGAAGGAGAAGGCGCGTCGATCAGCGGAACCATAATTGTATTCGTCTGAGCTTTGGGACCCAGGACAGACTGGAGTCATGCTTGGTCCACGCATATACGAACATAAGCTGGCTGTACGATGGGGTGACACATTATCGCAAATGGCTGTCCACGCCTACGAGACCGGTTACGAGTTTAACTTCGCAGCTGCGAGGATAATCACCCAAACCGGCAAAAAGATAGACTGGGAGTTGACTGAAGCCCGGGCCTCGGATGAAAACTCAGGCAATCGATATGACGTCGGTGAAGTGACCTCTTATTCTAAGCCATGCTTTGCTCACATGCCTGTGGGGCATGATCCGAGTGTCTAGCTTTCGTGCCTACCAGTCCGTGCGCGCTAGACGATGTCAAACCTCCGATTAAGGTCATGGACGTGTCTGGCCAATTGGCCAACCACTTCTCAAGGCCAAGTCACAAAGGGATTTGAATGTGGTGACTGCTTATTCTTAGAAACTCCCGGAGCAGGCGACCTGCTTGCCTGTTTCAGACCTCCAGATCCGGCGACTACACCGACCGGAATGAGACTCTGGACTCCGGCCCACCCATGGCTGGAGTGCACTCGTTTGGGAGTCACTTAATCATTACTTATATTCTACTCATTCAACACTTTATTAAATTATCCATCATTCTCTGGCCTTCCATGCCTTATGTCATCTACTAGTTCATAACCGTTAGGATACGTTCT